AAGACTTAAACAAAATAGTGACTAATATTGCATATTTCAGGCCCACACAGAAAACCCAGATGCCTAAACCAGCACACCAGCAACCTTTACGAAAGTAAAAGAATCCATCTTCTAAATACTTCATCCGCAGAAAAAAAAATGAAGACAAGAGATCAGTTTCCAGCTGTCATCCACCTGACTTCAGAAAAGCCAACTGAGCATGCACAAAGTATTACTGCTTAAGAACAGACAACTATTATGTCCTCTTTATTCCTCACCTAGGCTCATCACTTGCTTTTACACTGCCAAAGGAATAGCGAAGAAAGTTTCAGGAAAAGTTCACACCTTGTTTTATGCCTCAGGACACTCCAATTCCACTCACTCCAGCACCTTTAATACTTGCAAGTTCACGAAAGCAGCTTTCCTTAAAACGATTCGCCTTCACAAGACAGTATCAGAAAATATGGAGATTACAAAAACCTGAAATACAGGAATTACTAAGATGCTGACTCAGTGATCTCCAATTTCTGCTATTTTGGTAGCAAAGAATTTTAATTAAGATATTCTTGAATATAATTTTAACAAAGGAAAAATCCAATTTCCCTAGCGCTTTCTTCACCAATGAACAGTTCTTGAACTGTGTTTACCTACAGCTAACGTGTACTGGGGAAGGTTACTGCTAAGCCCTAGACACGGGTGAGAGAGGAGACAACCAACAAATTACCTTTTGTCTCTTGTCCAGTAAGTCTTCTAGCATCCTTATTCCACACACGCTTCCTCCACCTCCATCCCCATCCCACCCTGCACATGCCTGCTCACAAGCTTTAATTTGTCTAGCTTCAAATTCACCAAGCCTGTTACATCACTGCACTAGAAACTTGAACAAACAGTTTAAATTTACACATTTTAACAGGACTCACTGTGAAGACTTCAGACGTGTGTCCAAAAACGCCATGCAGTTTTGTTAAAATACTTGCTACGTATTTCACACGAATGCAGGAATTACCAAACCAGATCAGACAACTAGCCATTTAATTTCATAATCCAGTGCTTTCCTTACACCAGCAAATATCAGATGCTTCAAAGAAACACACACACACACACACACACACAGAAATCCTAAAGCTGACACTATCAAGCATCCCAACCATAAGAAAATTCCTCTGTTTTAAAGTATGCCTTGAAGTTACAACTAAGTCAACATAAATACAAGCCACAGCCTAACAGAGCAACCTCATTCTCCCTTGCCCTCACATACTACAGCTAGCAATCATATGGCCACAAATGAGTTGATGCAGCAAGCTGCTCCAATAGAAAACTGTTAATTGTTTGGGCAGACTTAGTGCCCCATTGGATTAGCCACCTCAACTCACACAAATGCCAGATCCTGCAAACGAGCAGAGAATTTGGTCAACCTTTTTTTGAATCAGATTACCTTTGCTACAACATGAGAGCAAGCCAAGAGAGACGTGAAGTCCTTATACAAGCCAAGCAGAAATAGGAAAGCTGGAAAGGGACAAGAGGAACACGGCCGCTCCATTCTGCAGTAGATCATACTAGACTGGTTTAGCTTCAGGAATTTAGCTCTTAAACTTGGGCTACAGGCACACCATAGTTTG